GATGGGGAGCTATAGGAACAGGGGGCTGTGGGTGAGAGGGGATGGAGGGCTGTGGGGGCAGAGGATGAGGGGGCTGTAGGGCACAGGCTGTAGGAGAGGGATGGAGGCTCTAGGGGACGGAGGCCATGTGTGACAGATGATGGGGGCTATAGAGCAGCTGCAGAGTGATATGTTTGTCCAGCTAAGTGGGTGGCTGCTTGCAGGGAGGGCAGGTTCAGCTGGAGGGTTCGCTCTCAGTGTGTGTCCCTGTCCCTTGGCGCCCCTAAAACCCCTCCAAAGTGGCAGAAGGCAGGCTGCATCCCCTGGGTCTGACCCCGACCCTGGCCTGGGAGGGGACCAGGGGCAGGGACGAGCCCTGCGCAGCATGCAGAGGGATGTGAACATGTGCCCAAGGCTGAACGTTCTTTGTGTAGCAGCTCCATCCTGATTGCAGAAATGTGAAATGTATCGAACAGCTTCTCTGTCTTCCTTCAGCGCTCTGACTTGCGGGCTTCATCGGGCAGTGTCCCTGTCCCCCTGTGATGCAGCAGGGTGGTGGGGGGTACTGGGATGCTAGCAGGTCCAGGGCACTGAGGAGCTCTGGGGCTTGGGGGGGTCAGGCCAGGCCTTTGCCTTGCTTTTGTTCAATACTGCTTTTTGGAGCAAGTTCATGGGAAAGAAGAGCAGTAGGAACGCAACTGGCTTTGGGAAAGGCTTTGAAGGATTAGCTGATATTCAGAGCCTAGTACTCACTGGGAGGTATGACTTCAGGAAGCAACTTCCCAAGGACTGTGGAGAGCGGCCCTTGTTTTCCACACACGGGGTCCGGGTGTTTCGTTTCAGCTGGGGTGAGATTAGGAGTGAGGTGGCTGAAGCCCATGTGTGCGGCTGGAGCCAAGATTGCCGTCTCAGAATCTGTTCTTAGGAAACAGGATCAGAAGTGAAGCACGACAGAGAGTTCACTGCAGTTTGGACTCCAGAATTCTGAGTGAAACTGAGGGGCAGAAACACAAAGCACTTGGAGAAAAAGACAGTGTATTTAGAGGAGTAAACTCTTTCTAGTAACATTATAAAAAACTTTAATAAAGTTGTTAAGCAGTATTTATCCTTTTGGCAGGAAGAGTGCAGAGGGGAGAAAGGCGCAGTGGAAAATGTAACCAAAAAGTCTGCTGCAGTTGGAGTCTGAAGGCTCTGGGGACTTGATCCTTCCTCAAACCAAACGAAACAACCAAAAGTAATGAGAACATGGTTAACTCTTTAGTCAACAGGGTTATTTTAAAAAGTAAAGAAGAGGTAAGGATAGAGTAGAGCAGGGTTAACTTTCACCGCCGTCTTATTGCAGTTGTGTTACGTAACAGACCCAAAAGCTCTTGCTTTTGGAGGAGAAGCTTCTGGTAGACATCCATGAACAAAAGAGCTGGCTGGGGAGTCTGTGAACTTCTCCGAGTATGAACTCTGCAGTCAGGACAGTTTGCAAGCCTTGGGAGGGCAGGGCCTTTCATCCACATGCAGAGGGGATGGCACCACAGGTCAGGTCAATGTCCTTCACAGCTGCAAAGCAGGAGCTTGCTTGTGTGCTCGTCATAGGGGACAGGAGGTTACGCCGATGCCTCTGCCTTGTGTTCGTCTCTCGTTCTGTCTCTATAGAGACTGGTGAAGAGTTAAAGGTGAAAAATGAAGCTGGTTATCTTATATCAACAACTGTAAAATATTAGTTGGGGCTATTCAGAGATAAATACAAAGAGCTCCTAGGATTAGTTGAGAGTGCTTGCTTCAGTCTGATCATTTCAGGCAGGAGTGCTTTCTGGGTCTGCCAGCATTCGGCTGCTTGCCTGCCTTTCACATGAGGCAGGAGGGTGGTGATTTTTTTCTGTGTCTCTGATGTTTCTCTGTTCAGTTGTGCTGCTGAACTCCAGGGTTACGGAGTTTTGCAGGAGCAGCCGAGTGCTGAGGCTGGCGCGTTTGCAGGCACCGCAGGCTGTCATGCTGCTGGAATGTGTTGCCAACAGAAGACATGTGCTCTGCAAGAGTAGTTTAACAGTCTACACTGAGACCCAAGAGCAAGCGGAGTTTTATTTGCTCTCCTCCGGCTGAGGCAGGGAAATGACAGCTGCTGGAATATCAGACCATTGGACCATTGGTCTTGTTTTATCTCCAGCATTACCAGATGCTTCATAGGAAAAGGTGGAGGGTGAATTACTTGTTTTCTGTAACAAAGATGAACAAAAAGATTATTTCTAAATCCTTTGGATCCTTTATGTGTAGAGTTTTCTTGATACCTTCTTTCAGATCAGATGTATATCATATATATATCAGATATATCAACTTGCTGTTTGCTATAGGCAGGAGGGAGACCGACCCTACATTATTTCCAGCTACTGATGATGCTACTGATAATGAATGTATCATGTATCTGCCTCATTCCTTCCGTTCTTGACCCTCAGTGCTTCCAACAGCCTGTTGTGTTTTATCCCACACCTTTCACTCTTACCATGGCCAGGAAATCAGTGATACAGAAATGCTGAAGCACATGAGAGTATCAGACCAGAATTCAGGGAGCTGAAACTAGATGACAGCTGTGAATTTTGCTTTCCTTAATGTATTTGAGAAAACCATGTGAGCGGGCACTTTAAGAGGAGTTAGTGACTCTGGGTTATGAGCATGAGATATCTTAGGTCCTAATTTCAAAGCTGCTGATGCTTTCATTTGAAGGTGTGAATGCTTGGGAACCTTTGAGAGCAACCTGCACGTGTTTTCACACCATGAGGGGAACCAGCAGTATTTTCGCAGTGTTTTGGAGTGCAGGGCTTTATAAAGACATCTTTCACTGCTCTTTGATGCTCTTTCATCCCCATGTTTGGGGGTAGGGAGGAAGCCATGAAGACTGGAGGTGGAACTGTCATTTGGCTCTGGCTTTGCACCTTCTTGCATTTAGTGTGAAAGTCTTGTTCCTGCGAGGTCGCTTAACCCTGACCTTCCTGTCATCTCCTAAGGCAGGAATGGAGGAGCTGAGAGCACAGAGGGAGGCAGGGAAGAAGTGAGGAGAGACAGAGAAAGCCGGGGGCTGCCAGGGGAGGAGGGCAGTGTGGCGGGGAGTGGCTGCTGGGGCAGAGAGGGGCTCGGAGCAGGAGGAGGTGGAGAGAGAAACCTGGGCAAGAACTGCAGCGCTCGGATGGTCAGGAGCTGTGGTTTGAGGGGAAGTCACTGCTTTTCCACTGATGATCAGACTTCAGTGAAAGCCTTAATGATTTTAAAATTATTTTCCCTACCGCCCTGCCCACATCTTCTCATTGCTGCCTCTCCTAACTATGTTCCCTCTCCAGCTTGGCCTCCAGCACAATGTCTCTGTGCTCCTCCCAAGGACGCTGTCATGCCATTGCTGCCCACATGCTGCTCTGCTGAAACATCTCCCTGCTCTCCTCCTTCCCTTGGGTCCTGTGTTTGCAGTGGGTGTAGTCTCCTCCACCCTGTGAGCCTGCTGTATTATTACCTCTGCACTTCTGCCACCTCATCTCGCTGGTAGCTCCTTGTTTTACTGATGCTGTCTTCAGTACCAAAAACTCTTTGCGATCTAGCTGGCAGAGATAGTAAAGCATGTACAGCCCGCTTGCTGTTGTATACACAGACCATTACTTTGCAAATGCCTCTCAGTTACAGCTCAACTTCTTTGAACTCTTCTAAACAGTTTTTATTCTGCAGGATTAGACTCTTCTCTGCAGACCGTTTTGGAGACTGATAAAATAACAGATCTCTGACTTTAATTTCAACTTTCTCTTTCTCAGCTGTCTGCTCTTTTCAGCAGAGAGAAGCCAGTCGGGGGAATTTCCCTATAAATTGTTCTGATTGTGTTCCTTCCAAGTTATTTGCACTATTTAATGTTGCAGAAAGACCAAACCCAGTTGCCATCTCTCAGCAAAGTCCATCATCTGTCCAGATATCCCAAAATGTCCAAGGTAGCTTTCACCCCAGGTGAATGACTGTAGGACTGGGCTGTGTCTCGTCTGCAGGGCTGGTGCAGGCTCCTTCCCCATCAGTGAGCAGGGTCCTGGTTTCCAGTGGAGGGATGGAGGCTCTGCCTGTGCTGCCTGCTGGTGTGGGCAGGTCCAGGTGGGTGCACTGGGGTTACCGAGGCCATCTGCTTGCCCAGTGCCCCCCCGGCTGCTGCACGCGCTTTCCCAGTGCTTTCGGAGGTCTTCCTGAAGGCAGCTGAAGTGGCTGCCTGTGGTTCTCACTGGTGTGGGGATGTGCGTCAAGTACTCCTGGTATGGTCGGCAGGTTGATAGTCCTTCCAGATGGGGAGAACTGTATTGATGGGTTATATTAAAAAATAGACTCTTCTCCTTTTCTTTCACAGTGCCCTGCTCGCAAGGATGCTCTCTGCCTCCCACAGGGTGACCAATAGCTATGTCCAGGGGACCTTAGACATTCCGCTTCTCACCAAAACCGTGGGCCAGTGCCTGGATGAGACTGTTGAGCGGTTTCCTGACCGCGACGCCTTGGTCTTCTGCCGGGATGGGGTTCGGAAGACGTTTGCTCAGTTCAAAGAAGAGGTGAGTGCCTGGTTTGCCCCTCGGAGAGGCCAGGTGGGTGGATAATGGCAGCAGCAGGCATGATGGAGAAATGGAAAATGATTTCATCGCTCAGCTCAGGGATGGGGTTTGTTGTACACAGATCTTCATCCTGGCCCTGAGCAGAGGGTGATAGCACCTCCCTAGCATACACCAATGGCTGCGTGCTGCCTTTGTCCTCCTTAGAGTCTTGAGATCAAAGAGAGAAGGAGGAGTATGTAAAATGCTTGCTGAATATTCCAGAATGAACTTTCATACTTAAAAATTATCTCCCCTATCTGATGTGTTACGGGCTGAGTCATGGTGTTTTTCTCAACTGGAGTAGGCTCCAGCTCTTGTATTAGTTGCTCTGCTCTGACTCTCAGAGGTCCTGAGTGTGTAGAGGTTTCTAGTCCAAGCACAAAGGCAAAGTCAAGGACTAGGTCTCAATATCATGTGCAAAAATGTGTGTGGGTGTATCTATGCATGTGTATGTATGTGTGCATATTACATATAAATATATGTTTATATGTATTCTGAATGGAGGGGCAGTATTTCAAGGCTAACTACCTGGAAAGTTTCTATTAAATGTATGATATGATCTTGGATAGGAAGAATTGTTTGGGTTTTTTTTTTTAGATTTACTAGTGTTTTGGTTACATCCATTCAGGTAAACAAGATTAGCTGTGTTCACCCTAATTTTAAAAAGTAGGCTGTAATTCAGAACTAAATCAGCTGTTCCTCAAATTCCTATCTCCTACAAGGTAGATTTCATAAATTCATCTGAGAACATAACAAAGCTCTACAAACTTTCCTGAATACCTCAGAATATTTATACATACATCTGCACACCTGAAACACGCTTACCATCTTGCAAAATAAAGTAGTCATATTAATATAGTGGCTGAATGCAAGTTAATGAAGATAGGAACCCCAGATTGGTCAAAAATCACTTGATACAGTTTTCCTCACCTGAGTCCTTTTAGAAGGAAGTGGTATGCCAGAACAGAGGCAGATCCAACGGTGTAGATGGGCCCAGCAGCTTAGTCCTAAATTGAGTTGATGACGAGCTAGACACTAAATAGTCTTTGGGCAAGAATTAATTTGCAACTATTTGTACATAATTGCCTATTTGGGTTTCCTTCCTGCTTTGTCGTATTGTTCCACGCTTGTTATTTTTATGCTTTCAGTCAACCTGCTAAGCAGGGGCTGGTCTGTGCTCTGTGACTCAGAAGATGACTGTGACTCTGTGACTCTGCTGCAGCAGAGGTACATTCTGTCTGATTTCAGTTGTGAAGGTGATGCTTCTTCCCCAGAAAGCAGTTCCTGGAGACAGATATCCCCCACTGCATCCTGTGTGTGATCCTCAGGCTCTTGTCCTGTATTTTACAGGTGGACCAGGCAGCAGCTGGGCTTCTGGCTCTTGGCCTGAAGAAGGGAGACCGACTAGGAATGTGGGGTCCCAATAAATACGAGTGGGTTCTCATGCAGTTTGCAACTGCCCAGGCAGGAATCATCCTGGTAAGGAGTTTGCTGTGTCTGGATTTTTAGCAGTCTGTTGGAAAAGGAAATGGAGACAAAGAAGCAATAGGAGATACTGGAGAGTAAAGCTTGTTGTCTGTTTTTTCCATGCTCTTACTCTGCATGTTGGCTATAACTGAATCCAGTATTTAAACAAGATCTGTGCAACCCTCTGCGTCTTTGTCCACTAGGTAGTAAAGGAGACTGCAGAAGAAGGAGCAGCAAGAAATGGACTGCTGTGAACTAGCTTGCAGCAGCTGATGATAGATGGAGACATGCTTTTGCCTATAGTACCATTTTTATTTAACATGCTGCTGTCCTAAAGTTACCAGTTATTTAGATCCCTCCTAAGTAGGACCTGTATTGCTTCATGGTGCAAATGCTCACTTAAAAATGTAGTCCAAGTTGCATATCCTGAAAAGCCAGTTTTCATTTGAGAGTATGACCTGGCACATTCACCAAAATCCGTCTTATTTATACAGTGCACCATAGTAAGGACTGCACTGTACCTTCTGGTCTGTTTTCTTTATCATGGTTCATACCGGTGTCATCCCAGTAACAGGGTGGATGAGCATGAGTCAGTATGAACCTGATGTGAACTCAACTCCAATGGCCAATACTGCTTCTGTGGAGAGTTGGACAGGAGAAAGCTGGTATTTTCATGGCTGTCTGTTAAGAAACCTGACTTGCTCTTAAGTTTTGAGTCTTCAGTTCAGTGGATTGAATGTCTGCCTGGGAGACAGGTCTGGTTTCGGTTCCTGAAACTCTGTTTTGACTATCTGACCTCACATAAATCTCTCTTCTTTTCTGATTGTTTTCATTCATGCAAATACAAGATTCAACTAATTTTTATGGTGAAAATAAAAATACAGTGAAATCCCTGTAGTGGGGAGCTTTTAGTTCTGCGTGTTGGAGAGGAGGAGAGGCTTTGAGTGTGGCTTGTCCGTGGGAGAACTTTTCTGTTGGAATATGTGTTAGGGGAGAGGGTTTTCAAGGCAAGGGTAACTCTGATCAACCTTCTTGTTTCTCCCTCTTAAGGTATCTGTGAATCCAGCCTACCAGGCCCTTGAGCTGGAGTTTGTCATCAGGAAGGTTTGTATGGCACTTGTTGGTAATACTAATTTATTCATTATGAGAATGCATACAAGCAGCCGCCTGTTAAAGGGGATAGTGGGGACACAGTCCAGATGAGCTTCTGGTTAAGCACTCGGGCATATCAGGGAGAGCTGGCCGGAGAGCAGGGCTGGTGGTGGCCGTGTAGAGGGAACACCACCACACAGTGACCAAGGGGATGGAGCTGCAGTTAAGTGGTTGTTTCTGTTCCCTTTGGCTGCCACCCTGTCCGTTTGATGGAGACTTCTGCATACTTCTCATCCCTCTCTCTCTGCTAACAACCATGCACTGCCAATATTACACCAATAATAACCATACCAGCCAGCAGTCGTTTACTAGGGAATGAGGAAAACAAAGCAAGACTAAATATCTGACCCAGGGACTGTTCTACCTAAGAAGCTGGCAGCCAGGACAGCAGAGACTATGTAGTAGCAGAGCGTGGCTGCAATCTCTAGAGGCAACATCTGTCTTAAATCAGTTCTGACTTTCTTACACTCACACTCCAGCCTGCCTGGGAGGGAGAGCACAGTGCAGCTGTCCTGCCTGACTTGGTGCCATCCTGCCTGTCTACTGCTTGGGGCAAAAATCACCATCTGGGATTTTAACCTTAAAAGTAAAAAGGAGGAAGGCTCAGAAAGGGCCAGCCTGCTTGGTAGCTTGTTTTCTCCTTCCCAGATGTGTCCTAGGCCTTGCTGGCCTTGAATTTAACCTGGTTTAAGTCCTAGTTATTGCCACTGCTTGACATCTTTCTGCTTTCTGGTTGTGGCTGCCTCAGCTACCCTCGTATACCTGCCTGGGTTTGAGTTTGCAATGTGCAGAGCACTGATCAGTTTAAACTGTTCTGGCTCCTTAGCTCCAGTAACGAGGAATCTGGGCTACTAAACATTTGACGACTAAAAATTAATCCTAGAATTAAGAAGCTAACTTGCTCATCTGTGGTTTTTTCAGCTTTAAATCAAAGGCTGATATTAGAAGAGGTGGAACCACATCTGGGTCTTCCCAGCACCATGCAAGTTCTGGCTTTACCTAGAAAGAAGTGGATAATTTCTAGCAACAAAGAGAGACTTCTCTTGCATCATAACTCTGTAATTTGGTTGCTGGGCTGCAATTTGAGTTCCCATTTCATCCTTCATTTAATCCTCTTACGGTAGCTGGTGTCACTCCTGTTTTCATGTGTTAAGATTGTACACAGAAGCATGTCTCTTCCAGTGTGGATGTCCTCCTGCTTCTCTCACCAGGTGGAAATGTGCATGTCAGTACTTCCCTTTTTCCTCAGTGACACTAGGCTTTTGTTTTCCTTTCCATCTCTTTGTGTCAGAGTCTGCTCTGATTTCCTCCTCCACTGTAAATGTGGAGTGTTGATGGGGTAAGAGCAGAAATGTGCTTCGGCTCCATTGGGGATTACTGCTGTCTCACCCTCTCAGGTTTGCTAGTGTTCCTAGCTTTTCCATGTACCTTTGGCACTGGGATCTCTGGTGTCCCTCAACCCCTAATTATTTGTTTGTCTTTGTTTATTTGCACACAAACCCCCTGAAGGCTTTAGGGCTTTGTCTGTTGGATCCTGTCAGCCTGTGCGGTCCCTTCCTTGCTCCATCAGGTTCCCTCCCTTTGGTATATACAGAAATACATGCTGAATAACCATTCCTCTG